GTGGCTGGATGGACTATACTTCTAGTAACATGGGGGTGCAGCCTAATATGCTAATGAGCTATGCTCTCATGGGTGTGGCTGGATATGCTAATGAGTTTCTGTTATTGGGTGTGGCCTATTATGCTAATGAGTTCCTGCTGGGCTTTTTCTACAAAAAAAGCCCTGTCCAAAGGTGTCCACAGGCTCAAAAAAACTGGGGAACAAGACCTGGGATTTAAACAAACAGATCTTCAACTCACTTGCTTCAAGTGAGCCCAGGAAAATGTGATTAGCGGCAAATTCACTTGGGGTTCACAGCAAGTTCTCTGATGTGACTACCGCTCTTTTCTGCTCTTGCAAGCAAGTCAGCTATCATCAGGGGGTGAACACCATGGCCTCCAACGGCCACTGCCTTGGCTGCTCTGATATCACAGGCCATGTTACTGTAAAGATCAAACTTTGAAACCTATGCAAAACTTTTGTGAAGCTGACTAATTTGTATTTACAGTGTGGGCTTTCGAGCTGGAAACGCTACTCCTCAGGCTCTACTCCCAAATCTCTAGGAATTTCCCAACCTGGAGTTGGCAACCCTAAGCAGAACAGGAAGTGATGTGGTCACTCAAGGCTCATGTTTCGCAAAAAAACCCTCCAGATTTTAAAAACAGACACAAGGAATCGGCCGTCAATATCGGAACACTGTTTTGGCAGAAGAGGTAAAGAAAGGCTACATGGGTGCTTGCATGGATATGGATCCATCCTTTCTATTTAAAACCAACGTTTAGACTACTCTAGAAGTGCTCGCTTCGGCAGCACATATACTAAGTTTAGACTACTCTAGAAACAGTTTTGACTGCTCTGAGCTTTGGTGTATGTGCAAGTTTGTTACAGCTTATCGCAAGCGCTGTTAAATCCCTGCCTCCCATAGTCAGACCAAAACGGACAGAAGTCTATACGTTGTAGAGGAAATGGTGCATCTGAGGATCAAATAGGGCTCATTCAGAGCACAGGTGGGAGCGTTATGAAAGGTCTGATCAGGGGCAGGCCCATAGATTAGGGTTTTCAGGTCCCAGTTAACCCATTTTTGTGCCAATCCTGTTCAAGCATAAACTTACTTCTCATTAACCCTCAATGTCTCTGATGGAGGACCAACCATTATAAAAAGGAAACATGAAGAATGCACGGATTATCTTCATGTGGATATTAAGCTGGATCCAAATGGCTAGGGACCATAGTGGGAGGTCTCTGTGTCAATCCAGTGAATGTGGGCAAATGTCATTCTACAGAATCTTGGGGGCAGCACTTGAAAAAGTCACCTGCAGAATACAGCCCGGGTTCGCTGTTCCATCAGAGCATATTCAGCTCTCAGTGGTTCCCACCTGGGAGTTATTGCAATGCACAGGCCCTCTTGCCACCCCCTTGTTACAACAGGCATTTTGCTTGTTTAAAATAACAAGCAGGGACCAGCAGCAAAATGTCGCGGAGTGCTCAGAATTACTTTTATCAGCGACGGGTTTTGCCGAAGGTGCCCTAGCAGTGAGAGACAGAAAATTCCTTTACTGCTCCACCCCAAACTCAGTGTTATAAGGCAACTTCCCTACAGCGTTATATCTCTAGGGTTTTATCTAACATCAGCCCTGAAGCTCGGAGATGCAGAAATTACTCTGTTATCATCGAGCTGGGGGGGTAGGTAAGCAGCAAGTCTTACCCCCCCCCCACTCCTCTGATAATGAAGGAAATATTTCTTTTAGATGGGCATTTTGCTAGTTTAAAACAACCATTATCTGGAACGGTGGCCTGTTAAAGGAGCCAGGAATTAAAGATGACATCTGGCTCACAAAGACTCAGTGTTGTAATGGACCGCTTGGCACATGGAGTGAGGGGAGAAACAGAAGTGAGGGGGAAGATGGAAGCAGAAGGTTGTGCGGTGGAGGGGAGTGGGCAGTGGGAGGAGGCCCTGCTGGCGAGCGAGCCCTGAAATGCCAGCCCAGGCAACAGACGGCCCCTCCCGCCACCAAGGAAGGTCCACATCAGAAACAGTTCACAAGTTGGAAGCTTGTGATTCCGCTTCCATCCTCTAATTCCCGGCACCTTTCAATGGGTAATAACGATATTATTCTGAATATGGTAGGCATCAAGTTACGATTCGTGGCGTGTTAGGACTAGGTTTGCCAACTCCCCGGTGGGGCCTGGAGATCTCCCGCTATTCCAACTGATCTCCAGATAATAAAAATCATTTCCCCGGAGATAGGGTTGCCAGGTCTGGGTTGGAAAGTACCTGGAGATTTTGGGGGTGGATCTGGGAGAGGGAGGGGTATGGGGAGGGGAGGGGCCTCAGCATGGTACAATGCCATACAGTCCGCCCTCCAAAGCAGCCATTTTCTCCACGGGAAATGATTTTTATTATCTGGAGATCAATTGTAAAAGCAGGAGACCTCCAGGCCCCAGCCCTACCTGGAGAAAATGGCTGCTTTGGAGGGCGGGCTCTATGGCATTATAGCCGGCTCCTTCCCCTCCCCAAACCCCGCCCCCCTGAGGCTCCATGCCAAAAATCGCCAGGCCCAACCCAGAGCTGGCAACCCTCATTAGTGCTACTCAGAAATGTTGATAATTTCAGAAGTTGGCCATGATCCCTGTGTGGTGGAGTGTGGACAGGTGAGCACAGAATGAAAGAAAGTCAAACCATGTAAGGGATTTGGGCTTCTGCTGCCTCTTCATTGTGCATTTTTGCTACCCCATTTTCAGAGCTCTAACTGTGGAGCCATGAGTCCTAGGAATTTTAAGGGGGAAGAAAAAGAAAGCCGAGACTCTCAGGTCTAGAACAAAGGTCCAATGGAGATTTCCATTAACATTTACTGCTGAGCGGACGGCGTATTTTAAGCTGAAGAGCTGATTCTTGCTGCTGCATTTTATCCACGCAGAGTTGAAAGAGCCATCTCTTACTATTTCTGTTCATGTCACTCCCGAATGGTAAATGCTTCTACGGGGCTCTCTCAAAAGTCCACCAGGTGCCTCAGGGTACATAAATGTATCTAACCGTTCTAAGTGTAATCAGCTCTGAGTCATCAGAAGCAGTTTCAATTTCTAAATGGCGTACTGGGGCTAAAGTCAGCCCTGGAAGCCGGGCCTTCTTTCTTGAAAGCTCTTACCGTGAACCCCAAAGTGCAGCAGGGTGAGCTGCAATTGATCAGCGATGAAAGAAAAGCACTCTGCAAATGCTCAGAGGCCCACCCATCTTTACCACTAGGTCGTACGCTCATGGGCCGTGCCCTGGCATTAAACATGAAGGATCAGCTGAGCAAACATTCAGGGCGGTGAAAATTCTGTCCCCAAAAAAGCTAAACTTCATGCTTTACAAACTACGTGCATTAATATCTACTTGTTCATTTGAATGATTTATTGTGTTTGTTTTGGCCACAGCAAGAAGTCATGCAAAGAACTGAAGTCAGTCACTTAACCACTGGAAAGTTACTCGCAGTGCAATTCTAGGCGGAGCTACAGCTTTTAAAGTCCATTTAAGCAAATGGGCTTAGAAGGGTGTAACTCTACTTAGGACTGCACTGTCAGTCTCCCTTCTCTCCCCATTGGTTCTGGGGTATCACCAAATCTTATTCATCATCTTCCCATGTGCCTTAGGAGCTAGAAACCCAGGCTTGGATCCTATAATTTTGCTCTCTGTATGCTTCTCTCCTGGCACTGTGGAGGCAGCCCCCTGCTATGGAAGTTGCTTCTTCTAGCACTAGACACTTTGAAAATCATTGGCATTGTGCAAACAGAAATGCCCAGCACCAAAGGAAGCAGAGTGCAGCAGAGTTCCCCTAAAGCTCCGGTAAAGAAGCAGTCTCATAGTAAAGCTATGGATCTGAGCCTGGGGTGGGTGGGGGTTACTATTAAAAAGCTTCCTTCAGAGCTTGGGAACTAAACAGGGTCAGCCATGGTTAGCACTTGGATGGGAGATCACGAAGGAGGAGGAGAAGGAGGAGGAGGAGAAGGAGGAGGAGGAAGAAGAGGAGGAGGAGGAGACTGGATTTATACCCCACCCTTCAGTACTCGAAGGAGTCTCAGAGCGGTTTACAATCCCCTTCCCTTCCCCACAACAGACACCCTTGTGAGGTAGGTGGGACGGAGAGAGCTCTGAGAGAACTGTCCTTGAGAGAACAGCTCTGAAAGAATTTATGACTGACCCAAGGTCACACCAGCAGCTGCATGTGGAAGAGTGGGGAATCAAACCCGGTTCTCCCAGATTAGAGTCTGCGCTCTTAACCACTACACCAAACTGACTGGTGCAGTGGGTGACTATGCAGTGGAAAGCAATGGCAAACCACCACCTCTGTTCATCTTTCGCCTGGAACAACCCACAGAGGCGGTTGCCAAGAGTTGATCATGACTCAGTGGCACATTCTTCTTCTGAATTCTGCACATGACCCAAAAGTCAGTGCTTACATAAAGCTGAGGAGCAGAAATAGCTTTGCAGTTTAAAGATTATTTGAAGAATTTTTTTTTTTAAAGCTGAAGAGGGGAATGTGGTAGCAAGTTGTTAACAACCTCAAGCAACGTGCAATAAGTTTTTTCCTGCCCCAAACAGAAGCAAAAACTACTCTTTCCGAAAGTCATCCGGGTCAGCCTTGAAAACTGGTACCTCTCTAGGCTTCCAAGAGTGTTCTCCAGAGGCCCCATTTCAGAACTGGACTCCTCTAGTGGGTACAGAGCCTCTGAAAACCAGACCACGGTGAAACTAAACTGGTCCAAAGTGGTACAATTAGGAAAGCGGCTGAAGTGTTACCTCTCATAATTTGCTTTAAGCCCTCCCCACCCCTGTAGAGATAGCACCAGTAAGAATTTCACCCCTTGGAAACCACCATACAGTGCCTTTGCATAGAGTTCCACAGAGGAAATGCCTAGAGAGTGACCCAGAGACTTCCTGTTGCCAGCATCCAGCAGTTCCTGTTAAACTGGAGGGTGACCAAGATTTCTCCACTCAGTGTCTAAGCAACTAAAAACGAGGTTGGTGTGGAAGCTCTCACCTATGCAGACAATGTCCATGAAGCCATACATGCCATAGCAGATCTGGAAGAGCAGGTCCTGCCGCTGCCACTTGGCAGACGGGCTGAGGGACGACCAGATGAGCCACGAGATGCTGGCGATGAGGAACAGGGAACCCAGAATGATGGCTGCGATCTGAACCTTTTCTATCACAGTCAGGGAAATCGCTTGCCACTGCAGACAGAAAAAGAGCACAACGGCAGGTTAATGTCGGCCAGGGGTGCTTTCATCAAGATAATGGAGGAGCGCTTTTGAAATGGGATTAATCCAAGGGGCCCAGGATCCCGGGAAGTAGGTGCAAATACATACAGTGGCAGAAAAGAGTTCTAATGCTTCAAGAAACCCTGTTGTGTTCACTTTGTAATTCTTCTTTGGACACTCTCCTTTCTGCATACAGTTTCAGGGTTCAGGAGAACAGGGCAGGGAAATAACCTAGAACGAGGTTCCTTAGCATGGTGCCCACTTTCTAAAAACACCCACCAAGTGTTTTTAGAAAGTGGATAGGGCCAAGTGGGGCTTTTACCCAGCAGGGCTTCTGATTGGCTGATTGCAGATTTTTTAAAAGTTGCTTCAGCAGCAGTTGCCACTACAGCACAAGGGTCTTCACTGTATGACTGAAGATCAGCCGTGTGTATGCAAGAAAGTATTTTTAAACTAAGTATTTTAAAACAATATTTTAAAGGCATTCTGTTGAAATAAAGGCATTTCAAGGCGTTCTGTTAAACAGAGCTTCTGCCTGAAATGTTGAACCGTTACTATTAGAGTTATGCATGACCCACGCCCTGAGATTTTGTGGTGGGCTCCGCCTACTGTGGTAGCCATTTTGTGACTGCACCCACCATCCAGTGTCAGAATTCCAAAGGTGCCTGCAGACTTTAAAAGGTTGGGGACCCCGCCCTGGAACAGTGATGTTTAAAGAAAACCCAGGGTTGCTTGGCAGCTTATCGGAAGCTCTTTTATGAGAAGATCGGTAGCAGCACACATACTCCCCTGAAAGACAGCTAGACCATCTTCTTTTAGGAAGTGTCCATGGCTCAGAGGGAAAGCATCTATTTGGCATGCAGAAGGCCTCAGGTTCAATCCCCAGCATCTCCAGTGAAAAGGAATAGGCCATAGGGGATGTAAAAGACTTCTACTTGAGACTGGGCCGGTATGTGTAGATGATTCTGGCCTCAATGGACCATTGATCTGATTCAGTATAAAGCAGCTTCATGTGTTCCCAGCCATGTGCAGCTGCAACCCAAAGCTGAATATGGATATATGAAGCTGATTTATATGGAGTCTGGCCACTGTCTGCTCAGCATCCTCTCCTCCTGATTTGCAGTGACTCTACAGGGTCTCAGACTGACCTCTTTATACCTTTACACCATTTAGCTGGAGACTCCAGGGACTGAAATCTGGAACCTTCTGCATGCAAAGCAGATGCTCCACCAATGAGCAACAACTGCTCCTCAAGGGCTATGAAAGATCTGATGATTGCCCCCAGTGAACTGTGCATGCCCTGGAATATGCCCCAGGATCCGCTGCAATGCACCATGGTGGAAAGTCTGATGTGGGAGGTTTTTCCCAAAGGCTGGAAATCACTGACCTAAGAACAATAACATCTTGAACTCTGAGGGCCTAACTATTCGTTTTCCTCACGTCCTCCACAGGTCCATAACAAAGACTTGCAACTGGAAACATGGCTGTATGTTCCGTGCATGGAATTCAATTCTCAGTCCCACGGGGCCCCAATTTGGGTCAGTACTGTGATACATGGGGACACAGTGATTCAGCTGTGCTTATAGCTAAGAACATAAGAGAAGCAATGTTGGATGAGGCCAGTGGCCCATCCAGTCCAACACTCTGTGGTCACACACACTAAACAATCCACTTTCAGTGCACTTTCGAACTGGATTTTCCCAGTTCACACAGTAAAAATCCAGTTGGAAAGTACATTGAAAGTGGAAAATGGATTATTTAGTGTGTGTGTCTGCACCCTCTGTGTCACACAGGGGCCAAAAACCAGAGGTCCACCAGCGAGGCCAGAACTCCAGATGCCCTCCCACTGTTGACCCCAAGCACCAAGAATACAGAGCATCACTTGCCCCAGACTGAGAGTTCCTATCTATACCTTGTGGCTAATAGCCACTGATGACCTCTGCTCCATATGTTTATCCAATCCCCACTTGAAGCTGTCTGTGCTTTCTAGCCACTACCACTTCCTGTGGCAGTGAATTCCATGTGTTAATTACGCTTTGGGTGAAGAAGTACTTCCTTTTATCTGTTCTAAATCTACTGCTCATTAATTTCATTGCATGCCCATGAGTTCTTGTATTTTGAGAAAAGAGAAAAGTACTTCTTTCTCTACCTTCTCTATCCCATGCATAATTTTGTAAACCTCTAGCCAGGCTCTGTAACTCCCGAGGGTGCGGTTACAGGCAACTCCCTATTCTTTCCCTTGACTGGAGGACATCAATCATCCCTTTCACAATCTTCACACTATACAAGTGGGCATGTCCCTTTGCTTAAGCTGGACCAACCCTGTATTTCTCGCAAGCTTTGAAAAAAAGTGTTTGGGCTAATTTTTGTGCAGAAACTGCCTTGAGAGCATCATGCTGGGAGTGTGGGATATAAATGTTTCGAGTTCATAAAATAAGGGTCCCCCTTCCTGTGGAAAGGGGGTAGGGGATGGAAAGGGACTTGCTCCAACACTTCCTTCTAGACAGCATGTTCCCTGGGCTGAAGGACAAGAACTCCGATTGCCAAGCAAGCTGGGCATCTGCACATGATCTGCACATCAGGACCCATTCATTTATGCCACCGTGCAATCACTACGATAAGCCTTCATTTTATGTTTGATGACTATTTCCCCCTTACTAGATCTCCAGCACAGACATCGTAAATGACAGACCTCCACCACAAAGGAGGAGCGGATTCAGAAGAACATTCACTACCCCCAAAAGAGGTTGCTATGCTGTCCAAAACACACACACACAAAAAAAAACCCCTGTGAGATGAGTGTGAGGGGGGGAAAGTGTATTTTTATCTGTGTCTGGGGCCAGTGCCTGACCCGTCCTCAGCCAAGGCACCTGTGGCAAAGTCAGGGGCTTCCCCAACACTGAAGGAGCTAAGCAGGGCCCACCCACCTTCCTCATACCTCAGGCAGCCACCGTCAACTCGGCCAGGATACCCAGGGCAGGACCCAAGGCAGCAGACAGCTGCAGCAACTGGATGTGGGTCTTGCCACCTCCCTCCTGGGCCCCCAGGTGCCAGCTGATGACATAATCTCCTGAAGCCATGACAACTAGGGAAGACCGAGCCTCACAGGCCATCAAGCAATGCAGCAAGCATGGAGGCAGCCAGCAGAAGCCCAACCAGGATGGCCTGGGCAGAGCATGGGCGGGGCCCAGCAATGCAAGAACCTGGAACCTGGGTGGAGCCCAGCAGGGAGGGGACTGGCCGAAGGCCTCCTAGGAACTGGCTAGTGAGAGAAATGGGGAGGACCAGCAAAGTTGGGGCAGGAGAGTGGGGGGAGTGCTGCTCCACCCACTGGCCGAGATAATAGCTCAGGCCATAGTGGTGAGGTGGGAGCATAAATGGCAGCTCCACAACCAGGCTGGGGAGGAGCGATGGAGCACAGTATTTGTCCATAAAAGGAACAGGAGGGTGGACTTGGGTGATGCAACCCTCCCCTGCCCGTCCTTTTCTATTCTGAGGCCTGGGGAGACCCCACCAGGGATCGAAAGCGGTTTGATGGCTGAGGGCCGGGGTGGCACCAGTGAGGGAGGAGCCTCACCCCGTGGAAGCCAATCTGGAAACGCATGTATGTGAGTGTGCCCAAGTATGCACATCTGTCTTCTTGCATTCGCTGACGCGCACACCTCATCCTCCACTCTTCCCGGCCCATACATGAAACTGCCTTGTACAGAAACAGAATTAGACCACTCTGCTCGGTCCCCCTAACTCCCGTGTTGTCTGCTTTGCTAGCAGAGCCTTGTGCAAAGAAAAATCTTCCCCAGTTCCTGGCACCTGAGATGCCAGGGACTGAACCTGAGACCTCCTGGATGCCAAGCATGAGCTCTGTCTCTGAGCCAAAGCCCCTCTGCAGCAGAACTACAGTGAACCAACTGGGGCCTTCGTCTCCTCGGTGCCCACCTGCAAGGGATTCTTTGTGCTGATGGCTAAGACCTGGTATTTGAAGTAGCACAGCTCACAGCTCCAAGAGCCTCTCTCGCTTATCCAACGAATCAGGCAAGGCTGGTGGGTGCAGCGGACGGACCCGTCACAGCGACACGGGCTTAGTAGCTCCCCCTGTGAAGAAGAGAAAGTCAAGGGCTCAGTTTACACAGATGCTCATTAACTGCCCATTCCCCCCTCCCCACATACAGACCATGCCTCCTGGACCCTGACAGAGACCTCACTCTCTGGAGAAGCTACTATCCACTACCAATCAGAAGAGGTCACCCCTTCAAAGCCCCCCGTGAGGATTCTGGGTAATACTGGCCATCCATGGGCCTGTAACGTCCATTAGGCCCCCTTCCATTAACAAAAAAGAGAGTCGCTCGTTAGTTCTACCTGCTTAATGCGCTGCCAGGAGAGCGTGAGGAGCAATTAGCATCAATATTTCAGACCCGCTTGCAGGAAGTATTACCGATGCGTTACGGATATATGCCTGGACAAGGAAATGGCTGTGGATTCCTGTCAGCTGCAGGACCCAGAGCCCAGGGGTCATGCCCTGGGCTGCTCATCAAAATCCCAGATACGACCAATCAGCTACTTAACCCCATTGCTCCAATCAGAGCAACAGGGGGGGAGGCCAGCCCAGGTTAGATGGTGAAGAGAACAGTAACCTTGCCCAAGGAAGCTCATGCGTGTCAGTTAGCACCCAACTTAAAAAAAACAACAACGACCTGTGGGCTACTTTGAGGGCCTGCAGAGATAGGAAAACAGCATATAAATTTTGGAAAAACAGGTGACCTACATGTGACAGGTGACCAAGAAGGCTGACAAAAGGCCTAATAACAGAATGAATACGAACGGGTGACATATGATAAATTAACAAAACTTTAATATATTACAAATAGTAAAAAAAGAAATCATTAAAACCAAACGCATTTTAGCCACGAGGCCTTCCTCAGTGGTAGAAATTGTAAAAATACACACCATAAAGTAAAATGATTCGAAATATGAAATACAACATTTACACGCAAGAAGCAGGGCCAGTTCATTAACTAGATAATTCGCCCTTCATTACTGGAATACATTAAACTCACCAAAAATCATTTTTCAGACTACTGTTGTTCATGGTCCAAATATCTCTGTAAGCAAGGCCAGAGTGAATTGTAGCTCTAGGGGGTGTACATCCACATCCGGGAAACAAAATATGATACATGAATGATTTTTAGTCTTGAAAAACTCACTAATTCTTAGCCTGCCTAGCCTTACACGAAACACATCCTCAGCTTCCTCCATCAAGCCACCGGACCCTTTGCCCAAGTTTCAATCCACCCTCAAAACATGCAGAACAACAGGCTGGCTTCTGCTCTCCCTTGTGGCAGAAGCATCAACCACGCCACTCTCCTCTCATAGGGAGCAGCATTAATGCTGTCACCAAGCAAGCGGCTGCTAATTCTGTTAATGCTCAGTGCAGCCTGTGCCTAATAAATCAAATTCCAGGAAACACGAAGGTCAAAGGAAGTAGTGAGGTTTTCATAATTCATTTTGCTCACGGCTTGCATGGTTGCACATGTCTGGCTTTTTGGCTGGCTTGAGAAACCAACATCCCCTTTCCTTTCATACTTCTGCTCCTCAGACCACAAGAGCCAGAGAGATCTAGGAGTCAGAGAGTCGGACCAGAATCTGGGAGACCCAGGTTCGAATCCCCACTCTGCCAAGAACTTTCGCGGGCGACTGTGGGGCAATCAGCTTTATAGACCTTACAGGAGTGTTATGAGGATAACATGAGAAACACATGCACTGCCTTGAGCTCCTTGGAAGGAGCATGGGTTTCTAACATTTTTTTACTTCTAAGCATACTAATAGAAATCTTCACAACTTTTGGCACAAATTTTAAAGGCCAAAACAAGATTATGGATAAAAGGTGAATTGCAAACACTGCATGTACAGTTGTCAAGTGGCCTGGAGAAAATGTCCTGTCCCTTTAAGAGAGGTTTCATGTGATGTTATTTACCTCCATGCCATGAACAGTTTAAGTGGCCCATTTTCACACATTAAGCCTCTGTTAAAAGGACAGAAGAGTTTGAACACATGAAACTGCTATAATATCCCATCAAAGTCAGTGTTGTCTACTCAGACTGGCTGTGGCTCTCCATATGAGGTCTTTCATATCATCAGGCCAGTTGGCAGTCCTAACTCAGCAAAAGCAACCCTTTAACCTTAGCTTGCTAACTGAAACCAGCCCCCTCCCTGCTGTTATTAACGCTTTAGAGGAAAGAGAGAGAGGGCCCTTAAAAAGCTAGTTCCCCCCCCCCACTTACACACATAGTTAGAACATATGAGGTGTATACCTGATGTGTGGATCTGCCCAATACATACTCAAATGACAGAGAATCCGGGCCACCATAACCATGAGTAAAACATTTGCTCATGTGCATAGTAAGGGGCTGTGGCTCAGTGGAAGGGCCTCTGCTTTGCTTGCAGAGGGTCCCAGTTCAATCCCCAGCATCTCCAGTTAAAAAGGACCAGGCAGTAAGGAGATGTGAAAGACCTCTCAGCCTGAGACCCCGGAGAGCCGCTGCCAGTCTGTGCAGAGAATACGGACTGTGGTGGACTGACGGTCTGATTCAGTATAAGGCAGCCTTCATTTGTGTTCATTCCAGGGTGGTGTCAGAGATACATGTATTTATCACACAAGTCATCCACCAACAGGGAACAGAGCTTATGCACCCCAATATTAGAAGGTGGTCAGAGCCTTAAAATCCTAGTATGCTAGGGTTGCTTGCCAGGCCCCTCCCCTCCAGCCACCAGCGGAGGATGGGGGTAGGGTTGCCGCCAGATCCAGGCTGGGAAACTCCTGGAGATTTGGGGATGGAGCCTGGGGAGGACAGGGACTTCAGTGGGGTACGATGCCACAGAGCCCACCCTCCAAAATCCAGTTTCTCCAGAAAACTGCTCTCTGTAGTCTAGAAGTAAGGCATAATTCTGGGGGATCCCCAGGTCCCACCTGGAGGTTGGCATCCCCATGGAATGCCATCTACTGTGGGCCCCATAACCAATGCAGGCAATCTAACAGCTATGGACCCAAAACAAAGTCCTCTCACCAGGTCAGGCAAGAGATCAGGAGCGCCCATGTTGATTACTGACCGCATCTCCCAGCATAATTAACAACGAAAGAAAGCTGAACCACCCTCCGCTCCTTGGTGTTTGCGCATCACTTGTGCCTTTGCACTCGCAGCCTGGGCTGGATGCTGAAGAGGCACCCGAATTACTGCAATGCAACGCAACAGTCAAGTGGGGAGTTTAAACGGTAGTCCCTAACCTCAGTCTCTGCACCACAAAGAGCCTGGGCTTCCTCCGTAAGCTGGTTCCACAGCTGCTGAGATTTATTTCCTGCCAGGCAAGCCGCCCCCTTCCATCTCGCACAGAGCAACCATTACAATTCAGGGCATACGTGAGCGATCCAGGAAGCAGCAAGTTGGAGGATATAATTAATGGGAGGGTGGGGGGGAGAGGGGGTAGTGGTGCTGCAGGACATGGCCTGCGAGGAGTGGGCTGGAAATAAATGGGGTGGAAGGATGGCTGATTCCTAAGCTGCAGGGGACACAGTATCTCTTCCTTTGTCTCAGGAAAGGGACTAAAAGGAACAAGACAGCATTTAATGTTGCCTGCAGCATCCCCTCCACACCCTCTCCATATCCCAGCTTGTGCCACAGACAGGAAAATAAATGTCATAAAAGAAAGAACAAGTTGCTAGCCCTCATGGGTGATGTGGTAGGTTTCAAAAGGAACTGACTGACACGCTCCGAGACAAAAGAAGAAGGGTGTGTGTGGCTTGCAGTGAGCCATTCTCTTCCCCTTTTGCAGTCTTCGCCACCATGGAAAGATACAGCTAGGAGGTACCAGCTCCAACCTGGGGACTTCCTAGAGCAGGGGCCCACAACATGGTGCCCGTGGGTACCCACCAACACCTTTTTTGAGAAAGTGGGCGGGGCTAGGTAGGGCTTTTCCCAGCAAGGCTCCTGACTGGCCACTGGAGACTTGGTTGGCTTTGCAGATTTTAAAAAAATATGTTGCTTTGGCAGCAACTGCCACCAGAGTCCAAGGATCTTCACTGTGTGACTGAAGGTAAGCTGTGGGAGCCACTTAGTGGCAGCCATTTTGCGGCTGCACCCACCGCACTCTATCAGAATTCCAAAGGTGCCTGCAGGCTCAAAAAGTTCGGGGACCCCTGTCCTAGAGATCAGGGGGCAATGCCTGCGGAAGGAAAAACCTGGCGGGGAATTCGCCTATCATCTGTCATACACCATAGAGCTTACCCTCTGAAACTGCCATTTGCTTCAGGGGGACCTCTTTCTGTGTGAAACAGAAAGCCAGGTAACGCTTGTCGCTGCGTAGTAACAGGATAAAACCCTACAAGTACTGTTGTTCAAACACACACTTTGATGTCAAGCAGAATTATATTATAGACCGGTGCAGAACAGTGATTTGGGATTTATTTACTTGCCTTCTCTGTACCCTGCCTCACAGTGGAGACCAAAGCAGCTTACATAAGTCTCCTCTCCTATCTGCCTCACAACAACCCTGTGAGGTAGGTTAGGCTGAGAATATGTGACTGACCCATGATCACCCAGTGAGCCTCCATGGCACGAGTGGGGATTTGAACATGGATCTCTCAGATCCTAGCGGAACCTTCTAACCTTCTTATCCACCACACTGGAGAGGAACCCAGAGGCCCTACCAGCTAGACAACTACATCCTACTCTGCCCTGCATGTTTCCTCTCAGTCCAATATACCTCACACACGGTTGTTGTGAGGATAAGATGGAACAGGTGAGGATAATCTATGTAGCCCTGAGCCCCTCAGAACACAGACCCTGGACCAGAGGAAGAAGCGTAGGCAGTTCTAGGAGGACACTAGCACTGGAGCTAGGGTTGCCAGCTGAGCTCTGGGTTGGGGAATACCTGGAGATTTTTGTGAGTGGATCCTGGAGAGGTCAGGGTTTGGGGAGGGACCTCAGTATGGGACCCTGGCATAGAACCCACCCGCCAAAGCAGTCAGTTTCTCCAGGGGAACTGATCTCCGTAGTCTGGAGAACAGTTGTAGAAGCAAGAGAACTCCAGGCCCTGCCTGG